GGCCCTTTCTGGCCCTAAGAAGTATCACTTGACCTGGCTCATATCGTCTTCTTTACTGTTACATAGTTATTTTTGGGTGTATTTTTTAAAATCCTGCTGCATGGGTGATCATTTTTAAATGTTTTTTTTTTTTTTTTTTTTTTTTACCTGTTTGGGTGTGGGAGGGATGAAGAAGCAGACTTTACTTCATTTTTGAACCAAATCATGAAGCTGCTGTGACCAAAACAGACCTGTTTTCCTGTGGCCCCACAAACTGGGACACTGCTCTGCCGAAGGAACGGCCCGATCAGTGGGCACAAGCCTGGGCCTCACGGTTGTCAGGAGTCAGAGAAGCACAGGTTTCCTGACTCCTCTGCACTTCCCCTGTTGGCGGATGTCTTCATTCATTGTCATCATTAGTTTGGCAATCTGTTCAGGTGTCAAATAGTGTGCCGGGGGCAGAAAGTGCTACACAATGTCTAATGTTAGGTCTCTTCCAGCCAGTGGTGTCAGGGCCCCCTGGGAGGAAGTGATAGAGGCTCAGGATAGTCACCAGACTCCACCGCTGAGCTGTGGGTTAGGAGAAATGCCACAAGTTCAGGCAAGTGACGCAGAATGAAATCATTGCCTCAACAAGGAGGCAAAGCCAAGTGTGTTTTGTACCTGGACTTTTGATTAATTGAATTCTTATGAGACTGGCTGGTTTTCCAAAGAACACAGCAGCCTATATAAATCTCATTTACAACCAACCTCCATCTCTGTGCGGATCTTTAGAATAGGGCCTAAGTGGATTGCTACATTCTGATCCAGGCTGATACCTGAGCAGATGACATAAGGAATACCCTTATTTTATGAATCTCCTGGCTTTCATTCAAATTCTGAACATCTTCCTGCTGTGTCATAACTATTTAGTTTTCTATTACTTCTTCCCATTAAAAAACTCAAAATATTACATGAATTCATGGTGGTAATTTTTATGATAAAACAAATCCTTTAGTAGAAAATAAAATTGTTCCTTGTAAACAAAGATGCTATGCCCTGGAAAAATAAGCGTAAGAATCAGAGGGAGAGTCTCTCTCAAGAAAGTCACAGAAATGTCATCACGGGTGAGCCAAGTGCTGGAGAGGGGTGGACACAGGTGAGGAGGTGGCCCTGGTGAGGCACCGCTGTTGATGAGAAGACACTGTGCTGGCAGGAAGGCACTGTCAACAAGCAGACTAGCTGGAGGGCAAGGGAGGGACTGTCGGGGAGACACTTTAAGTTCGAATATGAGGCGTAGGTCTAACAATTGGAAAGCAAGGGATTTGTAGATTATCATGGCCTAGAGACTCAACATTGCGAAGACCATTCTAGTTGTTGAGAGAGAGCACACCGCTTTGGATAAGCAAATGTTTTCACACTGGATCATTACTTTATGAACAGAATAAACACGAACACTTGCTGAGGACAGTGAATGTTGATGCCAAGTGAATTGTGGCCCAAATAACTGCTGTGAATGGTGGAAAGTAGGGAGTCAACTGATGGTTACAATCAAACAGAATGGATGTGGATCTAGCTATTCAGCAGTGGAAGGCAGAGTTTGGGGGAGTCGGACAAGGCAGTAATGTGGATATTTGCCAACAAATAAGCCGAAATCTACTCAAAGAAGCGCCTCTCGTCCTGGCTCTCCCACCCTGTTCCCAGCGCCCCCACGCCAGCTACGGTCTTGCCATCCGACCCTTGGGTCGTCAGCCTCGCGCCCTGTGTTTGTGCCAGATCTCTCTGCAGTTACACAGACACACACATCTTCCATTTCTTTTTATGCCTTGTGCACTTTCGAGGCCTTTTTGTGCTTTTTTCCACTAGTCATATCTCCTGGAAATGATTTTCTATCATTTTACGGATATTTTCACCATGTGGTCTTATTTTACAGAGGCGCGGTATTCCACCACGTGGATGCCACAGAATTTCTTCAGCCACTTTCCACTGTGTGACACTCCGGTGATGTTCAGTATTTTGCAGTGTCAGTGGGACAATGAGGAAAGAAGGCACAAAAGTAAGCTTGCGCGTTTGCACTTCATATTGTTGGAAAAGTATCTTCGGGGAAAGTCGCCCCAAGAGGGTTGGTGACTCAAAACATAAATGCATATGCGGTTTTGATAAATGTTGCCACATATTCCTTCAAAAGGGGTTGTAATAGCTTCAGTTCTGCTGGTGACGAGTGACCGGGTTCATTCTCCCGCTGCCTCTCCAACACAACGCAATGTCTTATTTTCTGCCCAGTCCATCAGGCGAGAAATGGCATCTCACCCAGCTACAATGTGCATTTCTCTAATTATGAGTCAGTTTGCACATCTTTTCATACATTTAAATGCCATGTCCCCTTTTTAATAACAGCTTTACTGAGATATAATCCACACACCACAAAATCCACCCTTTTTGGAAGCACAGTTTGGTTGTAGGTTTCTCATTTGCTGTTTGGGTTTGAGCGCATTGGCAGAGGCGGGGGCCCTCACGCGCAGCCGTGGCGCCCGCTCCAGCCCGCCCCTTCTGGGCCAACCGCCGGCTTCTGTCTTACAGAATTTCCTGTTTGGACAGTTTATGTAAATTGGCTCATATAGTCTTTTGTGATTCTGTGACTTTGTGATCTTATCCAGGTGTCATTAGATGGGCATTTGGATTGTTTTTGTGTCTCAGTTGTCGTGAACAACACTGGTGCGTTTTGTGGACGCGTGTTTTCAGTTCTGCTCAGCATACACCGAGGTGTGGGTTTAGGTCTGTGTTTACCATAGTTAGAAAACGCTGACATAATAAAATTGTGACTATTTTTTCATTTTAAGAAATTGTCAAAGAGATGAACAGATACTTCCTCAAAGAAGAAGTACAAATAACTGATAAGCCTGTGAAAAAACTACTCAATATCATGTTAATCTCATATCAGATTAAAACAATGACAGACAGTTACACATATTTATAGAGTTGTTGAGACCTGCCTGCTGGCCCAGGTCGCCGGTGAAGAGGTGCTTCCGAGCATGCTGTGGAATGATCCAGAGTACGTTACAAGTGTTAAAAATATTCCTAGGTCTCATTAATAAATAGTTATGACATAATGTTGAATAATAATAATATAAACAAAAAGATTTACCTGTAATGATGTTCTGAAATACTATGTTTATTATCAGAACGTAGTTGAAAACAATAAACATTAGTTAAATAAATTCATGTAATAATACTCAGCTACTACAAATGGTGTTATGAAAGAACCTCTCATAACATGGAACATTGTTCACAGTTAAGAAAATGTTTATAAAACAATGTGTCTCCCCAAAACTCACGCGTCGAAACCCTAACTGCCAATGTGACTGCATTTGGAAAGAGAACAGGTGAGCAGTTGAAGCGAGGTCCTCAGGGTGGTGAGTTCAGGAGGGAGAGACGCCAGAGGTCTCTCTTCTTCAGGGGAGGACACAGCCTTTGTACCCTGGGGAGGCTCGACAGCCAGACTGGCACCTTGACCTCTGACCTCCGGCCTGCAGAATCCTGAGAAGTAAACGTCTGCTGTGTATAAGCTGCCCAGTCTGAGGTATTTTGTTAGGCAGCCCAAGCTACGACACATGGTACCATCCGTTTTTCTAAAATAAAATCTCATTGTGTGTAGAAGAAGAAAACAAAGTATCAGCTGTAATTTTCTTATAATTGTGGGATCAGTCATAGATTTTGTTCCATTTTCTCTCTATTTTAAGTTGGGCATATAAATTTTCATTGAAAATATGAAACATTTCTTTTTTTTTTTTTTTTTTTTTTTTTAAATGTTTTATTTATTTCTAGGAGAGAGAGACAGCGTGAGCAGGGGAGGGTCAGAGAGAGAGGGAGTCACAGACTGAAACAGGCTCCAGGCTCCGAGCTGGCAGTCAGCACAGAGCCCGACGCGGGGCACGAACCCACAAACCGCGAGATCATGACCCAAGCGAAAGTCGGAAAGTCGGACGCTTAACCGACTAAGCCACCCAGGCGCCCCGAAACATTTCAAAACAGAAGCAATGAGTGAAAAATGCCCAAACTTGCCAAAGTTACTAGTCCTGAACAAAAGAATCAAAGAATGCTAGCTTCTCAGCTCTCTCAGCTTGCCCGGCTCAATCCATTTCTTTTTTTTTTTTTTTTTTTTAATGTTTTATTTATTTCTAGGAGAGTGAGAGAGACAGTGTGAACAGGGGAGGGTCAGAGAGAGAGGGAGTGACAGACTCTGAAACAGGCTCCAGGCTCTGAGCTGGCAGTCAGCACAGAGCCCGACGCGGGGCTCGAACCCACGAACCGCGAGATCATGACCCGAGCGAAAGTCGGACGCTTAACCGACTAAGCCACCCAGGCGCCCCTGGCTTAATCCATTTCTGTGCATGTCGTCTCCAAGGAGGATCAAAGACCAACATGATGTATTGATGCAGAATCAATACTAGAAAATTAAAGTTTTAGAGTGTTTTATCTGTCTTTAAAAGATACATATTTCATATATATGATCTCTATGTATGTGTATATGTACACACACACACACACACACACAAAATTATTGATAAAGAAAGATTCTGAGCAAGTGTTCTGTGAAGAACCGGGAAAGAAAGAAGCAGAACACCATTAGAATCAAAATCTGAAAACTATCTGATAAGCAGCTTTCACATAAACTCCATCTGGTGAATTTCGGCTGGTGTACGTAGGGGAGTGGGCTGGTGACATCCAGGAAGAGCCACCAAGGCGCGCTTGAAAGGAATAAAGGCCAGCTCTAACTGTGCGCAGCTACAGCCATCTGCTTACACAGGTACCTGTATTTAAAGCACACACACACATAGCTAACGTTCATGCACAGCACTAACGCATGCCTCCGCAAACAACCACATCGATGCCTGCCAAAAATACCAGCTCGGCCTCTAAGACGCACAAGGCAGCAGGGACGCTCATCTATTATGACTTGGTTTTCTTTCTCAGAAGCCAAGACACAGATAATTAACCAGGAATAAAATGCGCATATTGATGAAAAAAATCACGTGTCCCTGTTAGGCTTAAGCTGACTTTTTAATGTACAATCATGTTTCAATTTAAATTGCGGTCTAACGAGCTTCTCTGTACTTGTTGGTGAAGCAGAGGAATGCAGATAACACCGAGTTTTCACTTGTGTGTTCTTAGCCAAGGAGCCCAGCCGGCAGCCGGTAACTGGTTTCTAATTTCAGCATTTTTCTGTAAAGTAAAAGGTAGACATACGGTTAATGATATCTGCAATCTCTCAACTGTTTTATGATGATTTCTATGTCGTTTTAGTCATAACATTTGTACAAAAGTTTCTTAGGCAGCATAAACTACATGCTTCTGACGAATAAAGGCAGGTTTGCCAAATGCAAAGGAACTAATTAGAAATTCTTTTGATGTGCATTTCAAATCAGGAAGGACCTGGATATCACCTATGGATTTTTTTATTTCATGTTTTTATTAAAATTCTGACTAGTTAACAATTTTATGGTAAAATTGGTTCCAGGAGTAGAATGTAGAGATTAATCACTTACATAGCACCCAGTGCTCATACCGACAAGTGCCGCCCTTAGTACCTATCCCCCATCTAGCCCATCCCCCCTCTTCCCCCCATCAACCGTCAGTTTGCTCTCTATAGTTAAGAGTCTCTTATGGTTTATTTCCCTCTCCCTTTTCCCCCCTTCTCTTACGTTTGCTTGTTTTTTTCTAATTCCACATACGAGTGAAATCATATGATATCTGTCTTTCCCTGACTGACTTGTTTCTCTTAGCATAATACACTCCGGTTCTATCCATGGAGTTGCAAATGGCAAGATTTCATTCTTTTTGATGGCTGAGCACTACTCCATTGTATACACACACCACATCTTTATCCACTCATCAGTTGATGGACATTTGGACTCGCTCCATAATTTGGCTATTGTCCTTAGCGCTGCTACAAGCATCAGGGTGCATGTGCCTCTTGGAATCGGCATCTTTTTGATTGCTGGGTCGTAGGGTAGTTTTACTTTTGAGGATCTTTTTAAAAATGCAGGCACATGCTCTGTACTATCTCAGGACTGGAATGTGTGTTGTATGGTCTCGAACATTCCAGGCAGGATTTCCTCACTGTCCTAATAGTCTCAGTGTGCTGTGGGCCACATGACTCTTTGTCTATTGTCACATCACCCAGGCTCCTGAGGCTCTGGCCGGCTCTGTCTCCTGACACAAGCACCGTGTTTCTCATCTGCTCGGCCCCTTGCTGGGGTTTCCAGAGTACTGAGCTTCTGCGGTGAGGGTTGGGATACCCCTAATAGGGTTTCCAGTCTGTTCTTGAGCCAGGAAGCTGCTGTCTGCTGGAAGAACCCCTAATATGTCTGGTGTGGACCTTATGTCATCCGTCCTGACCTTCCCTGCCTTTGTGTGACCTTCCATCTCAGTTAACACTATGTGACCACCATGCAGTTACACCCTCACTTTGGCCAGGAGCTTCTGGGAATATGTATCAACTTGTGTCTACAGCAGCCCCAACATTTACCTGGTTTTCCTGGGGACTTTTCAGTTCTATTCACTCTCCTGAGTCAGCAGTATAAGATGATGTCGTTCTATTCTGTTAGACACAGGCGCGCGCGCGCACACACACACACACACACACACACACACACACACACTCTCTGGGCAGTTATGATGAATCAGCTGCCACACACGTCACTGAGAAGAGGGAATGTACCAGACCTTCCTGTGGATATCTGCTGTGACCCCACGGGCCTCTGGTTCCTCACGAAGACAGTGTTTGTGTATAATCTCATCACCTCAGCAAGGGTCTGTCAAAAGGTACACAAACGGCCCGTGAGCAGTAGGAGTGAGAACATGAAAATACAAGATAAAATAAATCAGTGAGAAAGTTTTGAAATTATGAAAAGAGAAGATGGTTATGTAGCTAACACACTATTAACATAATCATATATTTTCTCTTCCTTATTTAGGGAAGTTTTTATCACTCCGAAGAGAACAGATAATAAGTTAATACTCACATTATTTACTTAGAAGAAAATCGATAGCAAACGTGAAAACGTTTTAACATTTTTTCTTCTCATTTTCTTTTTCAAAGAACCAAACCGAAGCTGCCTTGATGCCAACATGCACCCCCCAGGAACACTTCTGACCCCCCCCCCCAGGTCATTGCCATATCTGGAGGCTGGAAAACATCCACCCCACAAAGTCCCTTCTGCCCTGACAGTGCCTAGGACGAAAGGCAGTGTGTGTGCTCAGGCTGACGTAGAGTGACACTCATCTCTCTTCAGCTCGTGATGGACGCCCGTCTAAGTCCCTGCACATCGGTGCACATGACTCCTTTCCGGCCGCTGTGCAGTGTTCATGGTGTGGACTCAGTGTCTTCACCTGTTTCTTTGCTGACAGACATAGAGGTCGTTCCCATTTTTTCCCTTCACAAACTATGCTTCCAGGCACATCTGTGCTTTGAGAAGAGACTCCCCTTAGGGGTGGGGTTGTTGGGTCATGGGTTACATACATGCCAAACTTTCCCAGATATTGACACACTGCTTTCTAACATCTATGTGCCCATTGCTCTCCTGTCCCCAAAACAGGAAAGGTTCTGAGCTGGGGCTGTAAACTTGTCATAAGTCAGAGGCATGTAGGACTGTTACAGGTCACATAGGGCTATTTCTGTAGGTCAAGGTCATGTGGGGTTGTAGCCGTAGGTCAGGGTCATGTGGGGTTGTAGCCGTAGGTCAGGGTCATGTGGGGTTGTAGCCCTAGGGCTGAGTCAGGCCTTAGTTGTTTCAATTGTTTCTATTGTCTTGGTCAGTTTTCCTGTAGGATCCCCCTGCCACGTGCCTCTGGTTGCCCTTTCTCACGTGTAGCTGGTTGTTTTTCACCCAACATACCATCATGATAAGGAGCTTTGTCATTATTTCTCAGATGCCAGGGTTCACATTTTCCTGCCATGGGAAAGGAGATATGTAATCTCTGGGTTTCTGTTCTCAATTTCTTCTGGATTGTGTCCAGACTATCATATTTAATCAAGATTTTAATACATGGCCACATCTTGACTTATGTATTAAGTTTAAATGAGTTATAGTTTATCCAGTCTTTCTATATGTTAGGAGGGCCTTACCTCTGAGCCAGTTCACAACTATGTTTAAAAATGTAAACTTTAGGCCTGGAGTCTGCAGAATTTTCTATAGATGTCCAAATGGTAGATATTTAGGCTGTGAGCCGCCGGTCTCTGTCACAAAAGCAGAGGACAACACATATAACGACACAAATGAGTCCCGGTCAACCTGTAACTGGACTTGGCCCACAGCCATCGTGTGCGGATGCGTGTTCCATGTGCCTTCTACGGAGTGGGTCTTATGAAGCCTGCTATTACATGGCATGTACCAGGGAGTGCCTGCTTCAAGTACGAAACCTGTCCCTCAGCCGTCTCTTTCAGGAAAATAGATCTGTGGGCAAAGTTAGTCCTATCCTCTTAGTTAATTAAAAAAGGTTTTTCGTGATGTTCTCTCCATTTTATCTTAAGCTTATGTGCAACCAAGCCAATTGACTTCTTTTTTTTGTAGTTCCGCTGGCCTCCCGGTGAGCTGTGTGTGTGAGACTGCTGCGCGCCCGACGGGAGTGCCTTCGCCTGCCCAGCTTCGCGTGTCCGAGGCAGGAGGAGGGAGCGCGACCGCTTGCGCAGGTGTCCCGCTCGGGCTGTGTTGACACTGGGCTTGGTTTCAACTGTTCTTCACGCACCTGTGCATCACTCACGGGCTCCCAGGCGGCACGCTCGCAAGTTCATGAGCGAGCCAGCGTCTTGGCTCTGGTCCAGTTCACCAGGAATGTTAACCCGTCCCCGCTCTGCTGCATCCTGCCGGGTCGGAGCCGAAAGACCCATGCGGGTCGCGGCCTGTCTGCGTCGTGGCCGGTCTGCGTCGTGGCCCGTCTGCGTCGTGGCCCAGAGCGGTGCAGGCCTGTGGCCTAGGCCCACTTAAGCCCACACACATTTTCTTAACAGGAACACATTGTGGAGCTCTGAGAAATCATTTTCCCCTAAACGCTGGTTTATGAGGGGGTATCCGTGACCCTCAGTGAGAGGATTTCAACTTAATTCCTCTTTGGAAAGCAGGAAGCTGCTGAAAAGAGAACATGATATAAAGCAGTAAGGATTCGGCTTTGAATCCGCGCTCTGCCTCCACACGCCTGGCAGCCTCAGGCGGGGGCTGACCCCCTCTCAACCCCAGCCCCCGACACCCTGCCCTTCCCCCTCGAGGGCACAGGCTCGCACCTGGGGAAGCGTGTGCACACCTCCCGGGCCATTCACGCGGGGGCCTCTGCCCAGGCACCCTGGAGGAGGCTGCTCCGTGTGCCCTGCGGGCCTGGACCCTGGGCAGGGGGAGATCCAGAGAGCACCCGCCCCTCTGCTGCCGGAGCCCCTTCCTCTGGATCGGCCACAACACGCCCCGGGGGGGGAGCGCCTGCCGTTTCCAACTTTTCCTGCCTTCGGCCCAGGCCTCGCTGGCCCCAGGGCACCTCTGGTCCTGAGGTTCCGCACCAGCTCAGGGACGTGAGCCCGGGAGCCCGGTGCCCCCACCCCTCCTGCCCCAGGCCTTCCTCCTCACTGCCCCTCCCAGCCGGTGACGCTGCCCCCAGGGCCCTGTCATCCGCTGTCACCGTTGCTCCTCTCCTCATGGCTTTCGCTCAGCCTCGCGGGGGCACACACAGGACCCACCAGCCCACACGCTCCCAGCAGCCGGCCAACGCCCACACCCTCAGAGTCTCCTTTCTCTCTCCAACAACAACGGCCAAACATGTCACCTTCTGTTCCAGCCCCTGTCACCCTGCTCAGGACAGACAGCTGATCCTCACCCCCCTCCCCACCTGAGGGACTGAGCCCCCTCACTCTTCCTTCCTGCGTAGCTCCTGCTATCACCAGCCTCCACCTCAGCCTCCACAACAGCCTCCACCTCAGCCTCCATGCCAGCCTTAACACGAACCTCCACGCCAGCCTGCACACCAGCCTCCACGCCAGCCTGCACACCAGCCTCCACACCAGCCTTAACACCAGCCTCCACGCCAGCCTTAACACGAGCCTCCACACCAGCCTTAACACCAGCCTCCAAGCCAGCCTTAACACGAGCCTCCACACCAGCCTGCACACCAGCCTCCACGCCAGCCTGCACACCAGGCTCCACACCAGCCTTAACACCAGCCTCCACACCAGCCTGCACGCCAGCCTGCACACCAGCCTCCACACCGGCCTTAACACGAACCTCCACACCGGCCTGCACACCAGTCTGCATGCCCATGCACCCAGACAGACCGCTTTCTAAATGCCACCCTTTGTGGTCTCCTCAGCCAGAGTTTGCCAGCGCCCTCCGCGGGGGGAGGGCCACCAGCCGCTGCGCAGGAGAGCCCACCCACCTGAGTCATGTTTCTGGGCCCCATGCGGTCCTGCACCCTCACTGTCCCTTCTCTGCATCGCTCCCCCCCGCCCCCGCCCTCTGCTTCTCCAGGAGCTGCACGTCTGACCTTAAAAAAAGTATAGAATTTCACTGAACCCTGGGTCTTTCTTACAGAATATTTCAGAGTGAAAACAGCACAAACTTTTACTCACTACTCTTAGCGGGCCCCATTCCATCAGGGAATTAAAATTTCCACAGAAAGCTAAGTTTTCTCTGGCCATATTGAATACATATAAATTAAGATATTTAAAGTAGCTGAACTCATAAACAGAGAGTGGGCTGTGGTGAAGACCTGAGGGGAGTGGGGACGTGTTGGTCAAATGTCATAAAGTTCCAAGTACAGAGTGAATGGGTTCTGGGGTCTAACAGTGCAGCGCGGGGCCCATAGTTAACAATGCTGCCGCACGTATTGCAAGGGTACTAAGTACTCTCAGCCCTAACTAAGATCTTAGGTGTCCTCGGAGTGCCACCACGAGAAGTCACAGCCGTGTGTGGTGATACGCGTGTCTGCTAACCATCCTGTGACCATTGCTCACTATTTCACGCTTCAAATCAGCACAATGTGCACCTCACACTCACACGATGCTAAACGTCAGTCATGTGCAAGGAAGCTGGGAAAGCTGTGTGTATGCACTTCAGCTTCCCATGAATGGACATGAGCCGTGCGTATGCGTTTCTGGCTATCCGTGTATGGACTTGAGCACCATGGATGCACTTGAGCTACCCGTGCGTGGACGTGAGTTCGGGCACACGTTCCGAATGACTCCTTACATCTGCGGACTGCGCTGCAACGGGACGAAAGTAGATGGATACGTAGCTAGAAGCAGGGTTGTGGAGACAGCTGACGAGAGTTCTTCATGGGAAAGTGCGGCACTTGGAGACAGAAAATGAAAGCGAAGAGGGGTCGGAGTCAGGGAAGAATGGATGCATTCAGAAAGGATGGAGGAGTGTAAGCCACTGGGTAGAATCGGGTAAAAACTGTGAAGGAGAAGCTCGGACTCACATAAGCCGTGGAAAGGATGGGGGGACGGAGCTGGGGTGGCAGAGGCCACGGGCCTCGGGCTGCCTTCTGCGGCTAAAACCCTGGGGCACCGCAAACCCGAATTGCCCAGGTGCAA